ACGGCGCGCGCTCGAGCCCTCCCGGTAGGACACGGCCTCTGGTTTACGAAGCGCCACGCGCTCCCGGTGACACCGAGCTCGGGGTCCGGCCCACGCCTCGGACAGCATCTACTAGCGAGACCTAAGTAGGGTTCGGGACCTGCAGGGTAAAGACGGAATCGGTAGAGAAATCTGCCCCTGAAAGCACGGCCGTGCGCCCTCCGGTGGCCCAGCCCCTACGGGGAGTCTGTCAGGGGGACAAGCAGCCCCGGGCTTCTCGTCTTGTCCTCTCAGACTGAAAACAGCCATGAGAAATACAGGCGGGGTGCTCCAAAACAGAACCGGATGAATATAACTATAGGTAAAAAACAAAAATAAAACTACGTATCACAGGACTCCTGAAGTTTAAGAGTGCTGCGAGTCGGTCCACGGCAGCCTCACAGAGCCCTTCGGAAGGCACCAACAGGTGTGTGTTCTAGGATTTTAGCCCTTAGGCAAATGAGCAGATCTGGAAAAATACACTTTTTTAAAGTCCCCCCCCACACACACACACAGCGAGTGCAAGCTCACCAGAGACAGAGAGAGAGGGAAAGTGAGACAACACCCCTCGGGGGATGGCCACGCCACAATCCCTTGTCCTCCACTGTCCTGGGACTTGGGCAGGCGTGCATGAGCACCCGGCATGATTTGCAAGCAGCTGGGTCCCAGGCTCAAACCGCAATCGATCACGCGGGAGTCAGCAACCTTGACAACAAGTCACCTGCTGGCCCCATCTGAAAGAATTTTTAGATTATTGTCTCTGAGGGGAAAAAAAAGGAACAGTACTAACCAATAATCTGAGACGTTATGGACAAAACTGGAAAGGCATTTAGAGCCTGTCAAATATGAAACTAATTATTGGGTAAGTATTTTATTAAAAAAATAGAATAAAATACACGTTAAGTGGAAAGCGTAGCTTGTAGGGCCAGCAGATAGCATGATAGTCGTATTGCTGGGACTCCCACAGAGTTGACCGCACTTCGAGTCCTGGACCCGACGGCTTGAAACTCGGGGCGCGTGTGCACACATGCCCAAAATTCCGAGAGCAGGCTGGAAAAGAAGAGATAGCGGCATGGCCGTTCCCCCGAGGGCGGAGTGCTCGTTTTCTGTCTCTCTGTCTCTGCGGTGAGTGCACATGCCTGTGGCAAAAACCTCTAAAGAGAAAAGTGTAGATTGTAAGGCCACCTTCAGAGAACAAACCGAAATAAATCCAGTAACAGCGGGACGGGTTCGAAGGGGTGAGGAGGCATAAATGGCTACGTGTGGAGTAACGGGCACATTACCTACACAGCTGTCAGCAAAACAATGAACGTATGAGTAAAGCAGGAACACGTTGGCTCGTTTCAAATGAATCCAGTTTTTAAAATCATTAGCAAAGGTGTATACTGTCATTAAAGAGAAATTTCTGTTGCAGTAGAAATTGTAAAATTCTATAAAGTTCTATTATCGTATCTCAGTTTAACTTCCATCTTGGGTCTGTGTTAGGAGGTAAAATAATATCGTAAGTTAGGTCATTCTGGGCTTCCTCTGGGATGGTCACTGGCCTAAGTAAATGACAAAACTATTTTCTTATAATGCCTTTTATAATACAACTGTCATTGTGTAAGTCATAATAAAGTCAGAAAAAAAAATGCTCACAAGTAATCATTTTTTTTTTTAAGAGAGATTTTTGCTATAGGGCATGTGCGCTTGCTAGAGAGACAGAGAGACAGAAAGCAAGAAGTCAACCACACCACTCCCGGGGGCGTGGAGGCTATGCCACAATCCCTTCTCCTCCATTCTCCTCTGAGGATTTTTGGCATGCACGTAGAGAGTTCTTTTTTTTTTTAATTTTTAGGATTATTTATTGATTCATTTATTTTAATTTAACCAGAGAGAGACAGAGAGAAAGAGAGAGAAGGAAAGTCAGAAAGCAAGTCGCCAGGTCCAGGACTTGAACCACGGTCGACGATGTGGGAGAGTCCAGCACCTTAACCATCATGCCACCTGTTGGTCCCCCCGACGGCAGTTTTAAGTTGTTGGGTCCAGGACTTGAACTGCGGTCAACTACATGAAGAGTCCAGCAACATAACCATTATGCCATCTGCTGGTCCCACACAGTAATCCTTTTATGTGAAATAAAATTACTACAAAATGTTATCACAGCATTACGAAAATATTATGGATTACATTTTATAATCAAACTGTAGTAAATGGGGATCAAAACCACAGGCGTTATATTAAATATAGAACACTATTTGGGGACCAGCAGTTGGCATAATAGCTATGTCGCTGGACTCCCATGTAGTTGACCACGGTTCGAGTCCTGGACCCGGTGGCTTAAACTCACGCCAGGCGCGTGTGTGTGCATGCCCAAGATCCTGAGAGAATGGAGGCGAAGGGATTGCGGCGTGACCATCCCCCCTGGGGGGTGATTTCTCGCTTTCTGTCCCTCTGTCTCTCTCTGTCTTTCTGGCAAGCACAGGCGCCCTATAGCGAAAACCTCTCGGAAAAAAAAAGGAACACTATTCATAAATCCACCTTTGCTATCAAGACAGAGCCATGGCTAAAGGTAAAGTGAGAACGAACACGTTCACTAGGAAAAGTTACGTGAATTTTATGATGCGTGAGTGGTATCATAAACTAATCAAGTGTTGAAAACTGCTTGGGAGACAGGAGTGAATGCCTCCCCTGCTCATGGCTCTGGAGGTACGTCCCAACCTTCTGAAGCCATGGCATGTGTAGAAAGCACAGTCCGGTGGCACCTGGGGAAATGAGTACCGACTGCCACCCGCCCTCCTGGGACATCCCCTTCCCCAAAGCGCTGCGGGGACGCCCAGCAGGGAGAGGGCTGTTCCCGCCCCTAAAGCCCCTTCGCCAGCAACGCACCTCGTGGGGAACAGTATGAAGAAACAAATCCATTTCACTTTTAAATGGATTTTAAATGGTATCTGTCAAAATAAAATGGTAGGTTTTTGTTCTGACCACAAAAACCAGCACTGTTTCCTGAAACTGTATTCCATGGAGACTCACCTACAATTGCGGAACTGCACGAGACCCACCCTTGATCCAACCTTGAATGGAATCTATGTTCCCTATTGTTAAAAACTTTAAACTCGTGGCCCCTCTCCCTTTACTTGCATGTATCACATTTTCAATAACTCCTCTGGAAGACAACTG